ACACAGATTTCTCGGGATGGCCAGAAATTGAAAATTCAAGCCATTGGACGCTCCCGCCTCCACCACCCGCCCCCACCCCAACCCCGGGAGGAAGCAAACCCTCCTCTGGACTGTGATCACATCCCAGGCTGTTCTGTTCACTCACTGCCCGAGTCCAGCCACAGTTTTAGGTCATGGAGCCAATTACCACGTAACCTGAGTGGCTGTACAACAAAATCTAGCTGCTCTGAATCTTTGCATTTATTTTGTTCATTACAAAGAGGTTTTTCATGACAAAAACACAACCAAGTTACAGAAATTTTAATTTAGAAGAGAGAGAACTGTAATTTGCCCTGAAATCCTACAACTCGATGCAACCAGTATGTTTCCTCCTAGACTCTGTTTGTTCTGTCACTGTTGATCTGCCAAGAACCCTGTGAATGCCAAAGAGCGTCTTGTTCCTGGACCATTTACCCCTGGTCCCACTGGCCAGAAAAACAAATGGCATACTTCTACCCTGTTTCTGAGAGCTCTGGTCTGGGAATATTTTCCTGGCATCTTCTCCTAAATCAACAGAAATGAACCCACAAATAGGGTTCACACCCCTTCCACACTGTGTGCTAAACACCTAAGCGGCCTTCTCGTTCTCGTCACCCCTTGCTCCTGTGAGGGGCAGGGGAAGAGCCTGGTCAGAAACCCTATATTCAAGCCCCTGGCCACCTTGATGAGCTGTGGCCTGCTCACCCCTTTGCCTTTCTGGGCCTTGCTTTCCTCATCTGTGAAGTGGGAATGAGAAGGCAATACAAACGTCCTAAAATCCAGGAGGATCAACTGAAATAATATGCAGAAGGATGAAAATATTTGTGACCAGTAGATACATGTTCAGAGAAAGAATACAGCCTGTACCCAGGACATGGTATGCTGACTCTCCCCAGATGGGTCCTCACTTGGTGCCACCAGGATTCTTCCAGGGGACTTCTAGGGGCCAGGACCACCTCTATCAGTTGCTATTGAATATTGAATTCAAACTACCCCAGGTCTTATTCTGGGCACTGGAGACATAAATGACTCAGATCTCATCCCTGTTACCAAGGGGTTCACACCTGGTGGGGGAGACAGGAACAGCAGGCTCCAGCTAAGGTGTGTCTTCCAGGGAGATGACCAGGGGGCAGCAGGAGTTCAGAACAAGGGCTTCCGTCATTTCTCCCTGTCAAGTCTCAGGCTCACTAGGGCCTGACTGGGCAGGGCACACAGAGGAGGCAGTACTCGTGCCCGCAGAACAGCCCCAGCAAAGAGCTGTGTCACCTTTGCTGTGGCCCAGAGCTGTGCGGCTGGAAGTCTCACAGGTGAGGAAACCCCTCCGCCCCCGCAAGACACTGCGATTTGCCCAAGGTCTCTCAGGAAGACCACTGGGAGCAGGACCTAGAACTGGGTGTCTCAGACCACGCCAGCCCCTCTCTGCAGAACCTGAGGGCAGTTTTCAGAAAAGAGGGAGGCCTGGGTTCTTATCCCAGCTCTGCCATGTGACCCTGCACAAGACCCTGGCCCCTCTCTGGGCCTCAGCCCATGTGCACAGCCAGGGAAAGGCCATTCCAGTTTTGACATTAGAGACCCCAACTCAGGCACACAGGCTGAGTACATGAGAACTGAAAACCTGAAAGGTATGCAGACCTGAAAGGCAGAGGATACTGAAGGCCTAGAGAGGTTTTAGCCCCGGGGCTCTATCCTCACCCTCTACTACCAGGGAACTTCAAAGACTAAATGGAGGGGCAGCCTTCCCAGCTGGCTCCCCTCTGAGCTCTTCCCCTGCTGAGTCTTTGCCAGCCAGCCCCTCTTCCCCCACACCCACCCCTTCCCCGAATGCCTTGGCCTGTCACTGGCCCTTCCAGACGTGCTCCTCCAGGAAGCGTTCCTTCCCGGTAAGCTGAGGTGCCTATGTGCTCCCTGAGGCGAAGCAACTGCACACCAAGGGTGTGCGATCAGATTGGCCCCGCGAAGGAGGGAGGGTTTACGGGGAGCAGCGGGGTTACTGTCCCTGGAGTTGAGTCTTATCATTTCTGAATGCCTTTTCTAGATTATCCAAGCAGCCTTCGCTGCAGTTCTGGGAAGTACCTGCCCCAAGTGGGGCAGCCGGTAACAGCCTCCCAGGATTCAAGTTCACCTCACTCCTGTGGCCCTGCGTGTCCCACACTTCAAGGGACACTGACCCTCCATAATCAGGCCTCAGCGGCCAGAGCCCAGAATGGAAGAAAGAGAGGATGCAGGGAGGGATTTAGGTTAGACACAAACCTAGAATCCCCCAGCAATGGTGGAGGTAGGGCACATACCACTTGGGGACAGAGGGTAGGGGGATGCCCTGCAGCCCTGCATAATTGGGAGCCCAGATTCTCAAAATGTTATTTTGTTTAAAAAAAAAAAACACGGTCACAGGCCAGCTCTGTGATCTCACAATACTTAATCTGCCGATTTTATCACCTATGAAAGAGAGAAACTCTCTCACATGGAGGTTGAGAGGAACAAATAAAATACTGCATGAAAAGTGCAGAGCAGGGGCGCCTGGGTGGCTCAGTTGGTTAAGCGACTGCCTTCGGCTCAGGTCATGATCCTGGAGTCCCGGGATCGAGTCCTGCATTGGGCTCCCCGCTCAGCGGGGAGTCTGCTTCTCCCTCTGACCCTTTTCCCTCTCATGCTCTCATTCTCAAATAAATAAATAAAATCTTAAAAAAAAAAGTGCAGAGCACTGTGCCTGACACCTAAGCACTGGGTAGTGGTGGCTACTGGAAGCACTGGTCTTTCCTGCCATGAATCCCAGGAGACTGGAGAATGGCTCAGCAGACACTAAGCTGCTGGTGACTCCTGGTGGCCACTGGGAGCCAGGACGAGAGGGCTGGGCCTCCGGGGCTCAGGCTGGAAAATTCTGGACTCCTAGCATGTTCAGCTGTTAGACTTGCTGAGTTAGCCATTTAACAGACATTTCCCGAGGCTCTCTGTGGGCCAGGCCTAATCGCAGGAATTACTCTATTCCCATCCTGGCCTCTTCCAAGAGCTCCCTGACTGAAAATGGAGGGAAGGAGACACAAAGAGGAACACAGGGAGAGAGGAGGCCACTAGGCAGCCTGGTGAGGAAAGGCTCTCGGAGAAGATCACAAAGGACAAATTTGATTTGGGGGCTGGGAGGGAAGAACATTCGGGGCAGAGAGAAAATCAACGTGCGAAACACGTTCAGAGTAGCAAGGAAATGAAAATGCAGCTGGGTCAGCGGGCTCATTCCTAAGGGCTTTGGATTTAATGCCAAAAAGCTTCTCTGCAGGCAGCCTGGGAACTTCAAAGGGTCATTATCTGTGAACACAGTACCTTAGAAAGTCACTCTGGCCACGGCAAGAGGAGCCTGGGTGGAGGCACAGCAAGACTAGAAGGGGGCCTGCGTGGCAGCTAGGTTAAAGTCAGACATGGTGGCTCCAGCCCCTGGTTTCTGAGGATGTGGAGCGTGAGGGGACGAGACGCTTATGTCGGGGAGATGCTGTCCAGGAGGCAGCTAGGTATGTCACCTAGCGCTCACGGGACGGCTGTGCCAAGAGCAGCGCACTCACTGCTGAGAGTCAGCGGAATGTAGACTAGGTATTTAATCACCATGCGCCCTTTGGCATGTGCCAGGAGCTTCACAGATGCTAACACAGAGTCTATACAGTAAATTCTGAGGTAAGTACTATTTTTTTTTTTTTTTTGAGAGGGAGGGAGAGGGAGAAGGGGCGTGAATGGAAAGTGGGGGAGGGGCAGAGAGACGGAGAGTGAATCTCAAGCAGACTCTGCTGAGCGTGGAGCCCAACATGGGGCTCTATCTCCGCACCCCAAGATCACAACCCCAGCGGAAACCAAGAGTCGGACGCCTAACGGATTCTGCCACCCAGTGCCCTCTGAGGTGAGTACTATTATTTTCCCCTTTCGCAGAGGAGGAAACTAAGGCACAAAGCCGTTAAGGAACCTGTTTAAAATCACCCAACTACTAAAGAGTGGGCTGCGACTCCAACACAGCCTGGCTGCAGAGTTCAGGCTCTCAGCAACCTGCTGCTCATCCTGGGAATGGCAACAACCCCCAAGGGAGACTTTGGAAGGTGATAAGGAAGGAAACTGAGAATTCCAAAGCGAAGCCTTTGAATCTCAGATGAGCAGCATGCCCCAGTAAGGTCCCCTCAGGGACAGAAGTCCCTTCTGCTATCTTGTGACTGGCAATGGCTGTCCTGCTGATGACTCCTCCATGCACAAGGTTGACAGAACAGGTGGGGTGCCCAGGCTCTGCCCTGCTGGGTCTGCCTTGTACTCCAGAGGCTCGTGGTGCCCATGTAAGTGAAGCCCCAGCCCAGGCCCAGCCCACGGCTGTCCTCCCCAACACAAAGACCTACCCAGGCTGTTCCCCACACATTCTGGGCTCCACCTCTGGAGCAAGAACATGCCCCCATCTAAAGGCAGGCCTGGTGTACTAAGTACTTGACATCACTCTCTGGTGTGTTAGGACCCCTTCCACCAGAGCCCCTCTTGGAACTCCCATGGCCCCTCCACAGCCTCAGTCTACCCTGGGTGCCTGAAGTAGGAGGGTCCAAGATGTTGGCTTGGCCTCTGGACCAGCATGGACCAAGGGTGAAATTCCCACGGCTCCAAGAGCCACTGCCCTTTGCTGCCTGTGAGCCTTTCTTCATGCTCTCTCCTCAGACGTGAACAGCACTGAGGCCAGCCTGGCTCAGCCCCAGCTCTGTGCAGGAGGAGGAAGGGGGCCAAGCCCAGGCGTCCTCAAGCCTCCAGCCCAAAGGCCTCTGCCACCTGAATGCTGCGAAGAGGCAAGCAGATACCAGTTTAGATGCAATTTTTTTTCACTTACGTCAAAGAAAGTGAGAAGTCAGAGATAAAACAAGCAAAAAATACTGTAATTCCCCCCCGACACAGACACCTTTTTTTTTTTTTTTCAACAGACAGGCCAGGTCCTGCCAGGCCTTATTCCCCATTAAATGCCCCAAGGCCACCCCCCTCCCATCCCACCTCCAGCCCCACTTGCTCCGGAGCCCTGTGAGCAGTGGGAAGCTGTCTTCTGGCTTTGGGCTTCAGACTCGAGCTCCAGCCCTGGCAGGAGAAGTCATGGCTAGTGCCAGAGCACAACCTTCCTGGCCTGGTCCACGCTCACCACATGGCTCCCCGAGGAGCACCAGGCCACGGCGTTGATGGCAGCGCTGAGGAGAGGGAGGGACGGGCTTCAGGGAGGCATCAGAAGCCGGGCCTGCAGCCTGGGTTCTGCCCCTCGTTACTGGAACAGGGCAGTCTGAGGCTCTCTCTAAGCCTGCTGCCTCACCTGCAAAATGGGCTCACAGAGCTGGGCACAAGGGAAAGCACCTTGTGAACTAAGAAGGGTTCTGAGGGGGAGGGGGGAGGATGTGGGGACAAGGGCTGGGGACTCGAGGGTCCCAAGCATGTCAGAACCTGGAACTGGCTTAGCAGCACTGGGGCCAGGGGTGGGGGGAGTGGTGGGCAGGTGGGGGCCATGCTCACCAGTGGGGTCCCCGCAGACTACCCTCCAGCTTGCCAGTGTCTACATCCCAGATGTAAAGGGCTCCGTCCCAGGAACCTGCCAGGACATAGCTTCTGTCCGGGCTGCAGTGGGCACAGCACAGCAAGCAAGAAATGATCAGAGGTGAGGGCACACACATGCAGACACAGACGTGCATGCAGACACGGACATACACGGTCAGGTGGGGCACACTCAGGCACAGGCACATACTCTCGCAGACACACCTGAACACGGCTTTGGTCCAGTCAGAACCGCACCTGAAGCCATCAGACCTGAGGACAGACAGAATCGGGGTCAGAATGAACGTGGCCACTGGTCCCTGCCCTCAGCCAAGAGCTTCAAGAGCTTCCTCTGTCCATCAAGAGCTTGGGGCACCTCAGCAGGTCCTGGTCCTTAAGGGCCTCCAGGATGGGTCCCCCACTGACAGGTCCAGAAGAGCCCTTAACAAGGGATGAGAGACCCAGCTGCCCCGGCCAAAGCCACAGTGCCAGGGGCACAAAGCAGGTACCTGAACGCCTGGCGGATATTGTTGACACGAAGGTCAATGACCTTGAGTGTGTCATCTCGGGAACAGCTGAGCAGATGCAGCTGGTCTTGGCTGAGATTCAGGGAGGTGACCCGGCCCTGCACGGGGATGACCTGGGTGCAGCAGGGGACCCTGAGGAGCGGAGACAGAGGTAGAGATGAGGAACAGCCCACCAAGGCCACTCCTGACAGGTGAACAAAGTCAAGAGGGGCTCCTGGGTCTCAGATCACTGGGGCCAGGGCTGACGCTGACTAGTCTCCCTTCTCCCACTGCGGCCAGCCCCTCCAAGAGGAACTTAGCCAGCCTTTGACTAGAAGCTGGGGCCTCGAAACCCTTGGGTCGCTAAAATAAGCGCTGGAAACGAGAGTTGCTGTTAAACGTGTGAGAGCGCAAAGGGTCTCCAAGAGCGATCACCGCACGCGTGGAAGGAGACCCGGCACAGGCTCCAGCACTGGCTTTTATAAATCACCCCCCAACGCCAGGCTCTAGACCGGAAAACAACTAAAACTTTGTTTCCTTTGATTTAAAAGTGGTAACTAAGTAGAAAAGGGGGCTCCTCCATTTTGGTTGGCAAAGCCCAGGCAGAGTCCAACAGCTGGACCAAGAGCCACTAAAAAGGTGCCATAGGTCCCCAGAGGCAGCAGAGCCTTTAAGGGGCCACACCTAGACAGAGAGGCCACTGCAGCCTCACTTCCCGAAGGTGCCTCCATGGGTCCGTGGCCAGAGAAACAAAAGAACACAGGAAGCCTGTCCCCGTGCCTCCACACCCCCCACCCATGCCTGTTACCTGCTGTCCCAGAACCGGATCTTCTGGTCATTGTGGCCACTGATGATGACATGATCCCCACACACCACATCATTACAGTAGGAAAGGACATTGATGGTCCTGGAGCCTGGGGACCAGGGGCAGAGCCCTAGCCTCAGAAAAAGGTTGTTGGAAGCCATCCCACTGGACATACGGAGAAGCTGAGGTCCAGAAGCCCCAGAGGGGTAAGTATCCTCCCCAAACTAGAAACCAGGTCCCCTGCTTCCCAGCCCAAAGCCTGAAGTCACCAAGAAACCAGGAAGAAAAAACACCGATGGCGAGTAGAGAAAGAGAGGCCTTGGGAGCTTTCACCCCAAATGCCTGTGAATCTTAGAGCCATTCCCAGAGAACAGACTGAGGTATTTTTGACCTGGCTTGGGGATGCCAGCAGGTAGGGAGGGGGAGGGAGGGGCTGGGCCTCACAGTAGGCGCGGCCGAGGTCCCACTCCTTCACCGTCCGGTCTCGGCTCCCAGTCACCGCCTGGTGCCTTGTTAGCTTGAACTTGGCAGCCGTCACCTTGTCTGTGTGTCCAGACAGTGTCTCCTGCCCCCCGCCATCCCACATATGGATCAAGGACATGGCCAAGACTCCATAACATCCCCCCTCGGGGCCCAAGACATGACCCCCGACCCCAGGGCTGCCCCCTCAGTCAGGCCTTACCTTGGACTGTACCTCCCCCACCTTCCAGAGCTGGGCAGCCTGACTGTAAGTAGCTGCTAATACCTGTGAGCCCTGGAGAGATGGAAGGGGAAGGGAAAGGCCCTGAACCTGGGCCTGGACAGAAGCAACATCCCTCATGCCAGGGAACTGGGGCAGGGGCTGCCTTAGAGCCTCCCAGATCATCCAGACAGGCGGAGTAGCCTCCAGGCCCAGGAAGATTTGTGTAGCAGCCAGCTCGAGGGCATCCATGATGTTCCCTTATGTCCTGGAGCCCCCACCTGCCCAGTGTGGAGACTGGGGGCGGGGGCGCACAACAGACGTCCCGTGTCACTGAGGCTAAGTCCCCTCACCGAAGGGTCGAAGTCCACACTGGTGATGCTGCCACCAGCTCCTTCGAGGGTTTGGTTGGCCTCCAGACGATCTGGGGGGCCCGGGAAAAGGACAGGTGAAACGAAGTCACTAACCTCATGAAGAGGAGTTGCTGGTAAGATCAGTCTCCCCCAAGTTAGAGGAAAAACTTCTGGGGGCCTGGGCTGGAGGCTGCATCTCCCCAAACTGCCAGCAGGGGGCTCCAGGGGGCAACGAATGATCTCACAGAGCTATAGAGGATCAGAGAGAAGGGACTGTCCCGGGGTCACACAGCAAGCCAGGGCCAGACCTTTCTCTAGGAAGCCTCCAGGAAATGACTGTGACTCCCCCGCACACCCACCTCTACAAGCATTGGGTAGGTAGTTAACACTTGTCTCCTCAGTTCTGAGAGCTCAAGTGATACCAGAAGAGGAGGTCAGCCCGTGGGCCCCAGGGACCTGATTCTCAAAGGCCTAGCCCTGCACAATCTAATGAGAAGGGGCCCCCGCTTCCCCTAACAGTGACCATCTGAGCTGGGCCCTCCCCATCCTGCAGACCTGGATCCCAGCAACTAGGAGGCTCAGCCCAGAACCCTTGCCAACGGGTCATCTGGCCACTGCCCACAAAAATGTTACATTGGAGAAAACACAAACAGATCTAAGACCTTTGCCCACCAAGGAGCAAGCTGAGGGTGGGCTCTGGAGAGAAAGCCCCAGGATGGCCCACAGAGGAGAAACCCTCACCTCCCACAACATTCCAGAGGTGGATGAGGCGGTCAGCCCCTCCGGTGGCCAGGAGGCTGCTACTGGGGCCAAAACAAACAGCATTGACCTCGGAAAGGTGGGCATCCTATGGGGAAAAGGGAGGTTGGTGCCTCTGGTCCTCACCATACACACCTCTCTGCACACACTCACAGGCTCTCTCTCACACGCACCCCTGCACACATCGGGTCTCATCAGCCCTGCAGCATCCTCCCACTACACTGCCCCACAGTCCCCAGGCTGGCCTCCTGATCTCCCTCTCCAGTCCATCCCCCATCACTAAATGCTGAAAGGCTCCTACCACTGGATGGGAAAGAAAACTTGTGCTCTAGCTGAGGAGCCCAGCCTTGGTTCCTTGGCCTCCGTGGACCACCCCTGGGGTCTACACTCCCCATATCGGCACCTCATGCATGTGGCCCAGCCCCTCCCTTACCAGCACATCCTGAACCTGGGTAGGAGGTTGGGCAGCCACACACACAGGGATGCTCTGGTATCGCGGCTCAGGAGCTCCCCCAATGGAGTGGCCTCTCCTCTTCTTGAAACTGGGTGGGGGGCAGGTGTTAGGAAGGCATTTGGCAAGGCCTTCTGACATGGGAGTCTCATGCTCCTGAGGCGGCAACAACAGAAAGCAGACAAGAAAGGTGGCAGAACATGGCCCAGAGGGGCAGCAAGCTTATTCCCAACCCGGCCTCTGATCCCAGGGGCCAGTGTGAAGACGGGAGGGGCACAGAGGTAGGGAGGTGTTGGTGAATGCAGAGCAACCTCCGGCCTGGGGTTTCAGTCTGAGCCCTGCTGCCACTTGGCTCTGTGACCCTGGACAAGTCCTGACACATCTGAGCCTATTTCCCAACTAAGTGGTAGTTCCTATCCAGGCTCAGGCTGGAGATCCTGGTCCCCTGTGAGGACCACGGATGAGGGACAGAGCGTGGAGGACAGCCAGGCAGGGCCTGGAAATGAGGGAAATGGGGTCTGGGAGAGGCAGCAGAGATTCACACAGACAGCTGGGCAACACACAGATGGACAGATCGAGACACACACAGACCGAGCCTGGAGTCCAGAAGCCTGACACGGGCCTCCAAGGGGCCCAAACCCTTCACACACATGTAGATGCACACACACACTTACTCCAGAAGCTCCTTCACCACATCCACACAGCGGGAGAGTGTCAAGGAGGTGGCAGAGGCAGATCTGGGGTAGAATTGAGAGATGTGCTAAGGGACTGGCCAGTGAGTGTGCAGACAGCAGCCACTCGTCCCTACACCCTGCTGGGGACCCCAAGCCTTGCAGGCCTGTGAGCCTGGGACAAGAACTTGGCTCCTCCAAGAGCATGAGAGTGGGATGACCCACAGCAGTCCCAGGAAGGTGGAGGCAGGGAGGAATTTGGCAATAAAGTCTCCCAAAGTTTCCACCATGATTGTAAGAACTGCCTCACCACCCAAGTGCCCTCCAACAAAAGTTCTGAGGAGGCTGAGCTGGGGCATATGGAGGAGAGGATGAAGCTGCCCTCAGGATGGGATGGCACAAGGCTGAGGGATGGAGGGAGGTAAAACCTCGGCCTGCTGAGTGACCTCAAAAATGCCCAGAAGAGGATGTGTCCTGGGCTGACTTGGCCCACCGGGGCTGCCAAGGACTTTGGGGACCAGCATCTCATGCCCCTCCCCAAAGTTCTTTCACTGCCCCCAGGCCCCGACACCAGTGACCTGCAAGGAAGGGCTGAAAGAGAAGCCCTTCAAGTTGGTGAATGGAGCAAGGGTGGGGGAGGGCAGCTTCAATGACAGACAAATGGAGATGAACGGGGGAGACTGAGGGAATCCATGGGCTTCCGAAGCCCGTGTGAGCTCACATCTATACACGCTCACACAGTTATGCTCCCCCAACCTGTACACACATGTGCTCTCGTGTCCCTGTGAGGACACACGTTTGCACACCCACGCCCCTGTGACAGCTGAGTCCTGGGCCTCACCCACAGTTCCCTCCTGGTGACACCCTTTCACCAGCCTGACACCCCACCCCCACAGCTCTGGTCCTGGGAAGGCGCTGGAGACCCTAAGACGGCAATGACTCCAAGAGGCTCCAGGCACTGGAGATCAGACCTGTCCTGGGAGGTCTGAACTCTACCGGAGCCTCTCCTCCCCTGAGCCCGAGCTGGGCCCAAGGCCCTAGAGGAAGACTCCCGGAGTGGGGCCCAGCCCAGAGCTCTGGGAGAGTCCTCACCTGAAGGGCCTCTTCCACTTCTCACCAGCCCCACTCTTCAGGGATAGGAGCTCAGCAGGCAGGGCCAGAGTCTCAGCCTCCTCTCTGATCCCGTCGCCTATGGTGTTTGGGCTCCTGGAGAGGGCGTGAAACTCAGGGAGGTCAAGGGACCAGCACCTCCCTGCCTCCAGTGCACAACACGGTGAAAAGGGGTCTTGCGGGCCACGCGTGGCGGGCAGGCGTGCTGGCGCCTACGACCAGACCACACGAGTCTGCACGTGTCCTGCGGGCTCAGTCTACGTGGAGGCCTCGTGCAGACAGGTGGGGGCGGGGAAGAGCTGCAGGCAGAGGCCAGAGAAAAGGGCGCCCTAGAGCACGCGGGGCAGAGCGGGCCGCATCCCCACACTTACTCGCTGATGCTCACTATCCGCTTGGCAGCCTTCTTTAGCTCCAAGGACATCCGCGCCTGCTTGGCCCTGGCGGAAGAGAAGCATCCAGAGAGCCGCACCGGGCCGAAGCTCCTCGGGCCGCGGAGGTGAAGCGCGGACCGTGCCCTCCCCCACAAGGGGCGAGGCGCTCCCGTCTCCGCGGGGCGGGGCCAAGCGCGCTCACTTCTCGTGGCGCTCGAGGCGCAGGTTGCGCTCGGCGGCGGCGCGCGCCTTGCACTGCACGAGCCGCTCCAGCAGGTCGCGCGCTTCCTCCTCCAGCCTGCGCAGGGCCGCCTCCCGGAGCCTGGCCTGCGCGCGCAGCGCCTCGTAGGCCGCCCGCTGCGCCACGTTCAGCGCCCGCTGTGCGTCCACTTGCCGGGTCTGCTGCGCCCTCGCCTCCTGCAGCTCCGCCGCGCAGGCCTCCAGAGCTGCCAGCCTGCAGGAGTGGGGGGAGGGGGGGACCCTTCGTCACCGCGCGGTGGGAGCCGGTCTCAGAGGTGGACGGACTTGCCCCCTCCACGCCGTCAGGCAGGTGGCTAAGTCAAGTCTCCAACTACGTGGGAAAAGCTCCCGGGCCGTGCTGGAGACACGCAGGAGCACCTCGTCCCCCTTCCCCGGCAGGGGTGGCCCCGAGCCACCCAGAGATGGGCGCGGTCCCCCCTCGCACTGGCCCGCGCCTCACCTGCTTTGCTGCTCCTCCAGCGTCGCCTCCAGGGCCCCCAGGGCCGCGCTCTTTTCCACCACCTGGTAGGCCATCTGGGGGCGGTCGGGGGCGGAAGGTGGGCGGCAGCGCCTCTGTAGGGCTCCCGCCACGCGCCTCCAGCCGCTCTCCGGCTGGACGTGGAGCAGAGTCGGCTACTCCACCCCCCTGCGCCCCTAAAGCACAGGCTCCGACAGGTGTAGGGCCGCGCACAGAACGCGCTGCTGTTTTGTGTAACAGTGGAAGGGCCTTCGGCTCTGGAACCTAACACCTGAGTTTCAGCCCTGGCAGTGCCACTTATTTTCTCTGTGACCCCGGGGCAGTCATTTAACCTCTCTGAACCTGCTGTTTTCTCACCAGTAAAGTGGGAATGATAGTACTTACCTCATAGGGTAATGTAGAATTACTAGAAGGAGTAATATTTCAGATAATAGCAAACGTTTATATAGCACGTGTGTGTCATGCCCTGTTCTGAGCACTACACGCATATTAACTCTTTTAATCGCCATAACGAGAGCATGAGGTAGGTACTGGCATTTTCCCGATTTTGCAGATGAGGACACTGTCACAGAGAGGTTAAGTGTCTTGACAAAGTTACACAGCTAAGTGGCAGACCACCTAACATGATGCTCCCAGTACAGGTCTACAGGAGAGGTTCAAGGGGTGTGGGCTCTGTTCCCCACGTCTCTAACCCTGGCCTACTCAAGCATAGATTCCAGAGAGCAACCAGGAGCCCTAAGCAGAGGCACAGGGCAAGAAGGAGAACGGGCCATGGGAGTGTAGAGGCCAGACTGAATACCTGAGCTGCCCCCAGGCCTAGAATGGGGGGGAGGGTCATCTCCTCTGTGCCCCTGCCTCATTCAGCAGTCCTTCAACCAAGAGCTGGGGAAGCCACAGAGAGGAAGGTCAAGTCCCACTTTTTAGCGCTGAGGGGTCAGTGGAAGAGACAGACCTCAGGTGAAGCAGTTCCCACCAGTGTGACAAGAGGAATATGAGGAAATAACCAAGGCAGGGGCTCTGACCGCTAATCTGTCCTCATGTGAGCCTGGTGAGGGACGGACTGAGAGGCAAGGCCAGTGCTACTCAGCCGCACTACAGATCTCCCTATGCCCGTGCCTACCTTCCTAGCTGGCCCAGTTCCTAACGTTTGTAATTCCTTTCACCACAGAGCAGTCTGACCTCCAGTTCTGCTTCCTTGCCTGTCATTTACTTTCACTGATAGTCTGTGATTCAGTATTTTGGGGAGGTTTTTCAAAAGCCAAATAATAGAGATGGAAAACAGATTAGTGGGTGCAGGGTTAGGGATGGTTGGGGGAGAGGGGTGCGTCGTGGCCAAAAAGGGTAGCAAGAGGGAGATCTTTGCAGTGATGAAACTGTGCTGCATATTGCCCGTCACACAAATCTACATATGGGACAGCATGACAAAGAAATATATGTATATTTCATATCAAGATCGTTTTTCTGATTGTGTGTGCTATAGTTACATAAGAAGTAACCAATCTTTGCAACTTCCTATGATCTATAATTATTTCCCCAAAAAAGCTAAAATAATAACAATGATATATGCTTATTGCGATATGTGAAACAGTACTAAGAATTAAAACTCCCCATCCCCTGGCATATCCAATGGGAACTGACTGGCATGCGACTGACGAAGTGACAGGGAGGAAGTGCTAAGGGCAAGGGGTTTGTGGAAGTGTCCCAGACCAAGGGGACTATGAGTTCAGAGACAGGGAGAGTGGCAGGAAATTCTGGAGAACTCCACTGGGAAAGCTAAAGGGCTCTGGAAGATGTATACCAAACTGACAACGGGAAAGATGGTGAAGGGGTTTCACTTCTTTACTCGATGGGCTTCTGTTCTCTTGAAATGTTCACAAGCATGTATGTCTGTATTGTCTTTTTTTAAGGGAGATCTTTTTGTTATTAAAATATATCACTCTGGGGCACCTGGGTGGCTCAGTTGGTTAAGCAACTGCCTTTGGCTCAGGTCATGATCCTGGAGTCCCTGGATCAAGTCCCACATCGGGCTCCCTGCTTGGCAGGGAATCTGCTTCTCCCTCTGACCCTCCCCCCTCTCATGTGCTCTCTCTCTCTCTCTCTCATTCTGTCTCAATAAATAAAAATCTTAAAAAAAAAAAAAAATATATCACTCTGGGGGCGCCTGGCTGACTCAGTTGGTAGAGCATGGGACTCACAATCTCTGGATCGTGAGTTCAAGCCCCACGTTGGGCATGGAGGCTACTTAAAAAGAAAAACGTGTGTGTGTGTGTGTGTACACATGTATACAAACATACACAGGTGTGTGTGTAATATATATCTCTCACTGTGAGTGCTGTATGGAGAATGGGTGGGAGTGCCAAGGGAGGGGTTGTCCAGGAAGTGATGAGGGTAACTTGGGCCAGGCCAACAGAAAGTTGATGGATTTGGAGGCAGGATCCATGAGCTGATGACTACTAGCTCAGGATGGAGGGCTGGGAGGGACCAGAGGTGCCCCCTCAATTTCCAGTCCAGTGACTACCAGTTGGGGTGGAGGGTCTACCTCACCCGTCATTTAGTCTACAAATATTCATTAGCATGGACTGTGAAGACAGACCCCAGGGATAAGTGGAAGTAAAGCAAGGGCATCCCAGGCCTTGGGGATGTCACAGCCCAGAAAGTGCCTCAAATGTCAAGTTGTAACTACAACAGGGGCTCTGAGGGAGAGGCTCTCACTGGGTTCATAGCCCCACTCCCACACTCGTTGGGCGAGTAACGTGGCATGCTGTAACTAGGCATGTGTTTATGGCCTATCAGTCTCCATTGGACTGGAAGCTCCATGGGGCCAGGTCTTGTCCTTATCATGTGCCTTGGATATGACAACTGTCCATAAATCTTTGTTGAAAGAATGGATGGAGATCACAGAAGATGGATTCATGTGGGAAGGAGTTCAGATCCTGGCTCCGCTTCTCTAAGCCTCAGTTTCCTGCTCTAGAGTTGTGGAGGATTTGCTGAAATAATGCTCAGCCCAGCACCTGCAGGAGTCACCTCTCCATGTGGTGCTTGCCATACACTATGGGGGAGATGGGGAATCTGATTTTAGATGTGATGTCCAAGAACCCCTGCTGACCAAAGAGTGTGGAGCTCAGGAGAGAAGGCTAGGCCAGAGACAGGTCTGGGAGTCAGCAAACCACCTTTGAGGCCACAGGAGTCCGTGAACCCACCCAAGCTCCAAGGAACACCATTTAAAGGGAGGAGGAAAGGAACCAGAGAAGGAAGTTCAGAAGCAACCGCTACAGAAAAGAGAAGAAAACCAGAACAATGTGGCGAAACTGCAGCCAAGAGACACCAGGGGGTGGGGGCAGCAGTGTCGGGTGGAAGTAGCACACCCTGCCGTGAGGGTGGGCCACCTTCCTCATTTGGTCTGCAAGTGTGTACCGTTGGATCAGCCGGTGCTGGGCCCTGGGGTTGGGAAGGCAGGCTGTGAACAGAGCAGGCGGACCGTCTGGAAGGGGGAGCCGACCCATCTGGCCTCATGCACCTCATTCCCCCTCTGAGCTCTCACCTCACATCCTCTAGCTGCTGTTGGAGACCACCTCCTCCTGGGCTGCCAGAACCAAGCTAGACAGCACTGTGGCACTGGACTTGGGGAATGTCCCTCACTTGCCAGATCCCTTGGACCACATCCCCTTGCCCCCAAAGTCCTGGCTTCTGGCCCCACGTCCTCCTCTCTCGGACCCCTGCCCGGCCTACCTTACCGCAGTCCTGCCGGAGCCCTTCCTCCTCCTTTTGCCACTTCACCCTCAGGGTGGTTGGTGGTGGGACTTGGTCTGAGTCAGGCCCCGATTCCTCCTCCCTGCCAACCAATAAGAGAACGGTGTTCTTTGTCCCTCAGTTCACCCACAGGATGAACATGGAAAGCCTGAAACCAAAACCATGAACTTTCTCCGAAGGAAGGTGGAAGCCCAAAACCGGTAGAGGAAAAGGCAAGTCTCCAGAAACTGAAACTGCCCATTACTCCTCTGCCCTGGGACTTCCCCAGGCCTTGGGTTCACTAGCTAGGACCCTCCTTAAGAAGCACCTCCCAGGGGCACCTGGCTGGCTCAGTCGGTTGAGGGTCTGCCTTCTGCTCAGGTCCTGAGAGCCTGGGATCGAGCCCCTGCATCAGGCTCCCTGCTCCACAGGACCCTGCTTCTCCCCCTCCCTCTGCTTGTGTGTGTGTGTGTGTGTGTGTGCATGCTCTCTCTCTCTGTCAAGTAAATTAATATTTATTTAAAAAAAAAAGCACCTCCCAACTCTGAGGCCCAACCCATTCCTTGTTCTCATCTTCACTCCCCCTTTGGCATATGTAGCAAGACCCTTTCTGTAGGCATCAGGTAAGGATCAGGGAGACAAAAAGAGGAGGGGGGAAGGCAGGGGTGTGGGGGTGGGAGGGGAAGGGATGAGACAAATGCAGAGATGGACTTAGGTGGTGGAGAAAGGGCATTCTAAGCAGCTGGCCTGGAGGAAGGTACAAGAGACCACCCCCTCCCTCCCCTGGGTAGCATATAAGGACCAATGAGATGCCAGGGAGAAAATGAAGCCAGCATAGGCAGTGGGGGCAGGGCCCAGGCATAGGCAGCCCATTGTAACCGGGAACACTCATACACTCACCAGGGGCCCTGGAGGGTAGCAGGAGTGACATCATTTGGCTCTAGCTGCAGCTTCTCCGAGATCCAGCCCAGCAACTCAGCCTTCTCTAGGAGACGGTTATCTAGGGGTACAAAGACAAACACTTTCCAGCAGACTCCAGGCATACCTCTCTGGGAGGGCTGCAGGAGCCCAGGGATGCAGAATGGCAGAGCTACGGGCAGGCTGGGCTCTGCCCTTTGCCTGAGGGGTGTTTGTGGGCTCTACCCAGACCTCTACCCTGGCCCAGCCTCCTCACAGCACCTGCCCACAGGCTCTCCCAGGAAACCTTCTCTCCAGGGGACAGAGAAAGACAGCCACTGCAGGGGAAGTAGATGGCTGGCCTCACCGACCACTGTGGGTCCTGAGGGAAGGACGGCGCCAGGGATTGATTCAGCCTTGCCCCAGAGCAAGTCTTTGCCCCAAAGAGTGATGAAATAAACCCAGCTCCACCCGCCTATGGCCTTTGGCAAATTACTTCCCCTCCAGGGGCTCTAATTTTCTACTCTAAAAAACAATCCTCTCTTCCCCTGAGTTGGGGTAAGGTTCCCCCAGGCTAGAAGAGAAAGTCCTTGAGCAACTATCCAGCAGACCGCCTTGAATTTGGTAGCTTTTGCTACAGACCCTGGAATATCTCCCTCCACCCCCACCACACTCACTTCCTCTTTTCTCACCAGTTCCAGGGTAGGGTGGGGGTGGTAAGCCCAGGCCTAGCTCCTCAGCTCCTTTCCTTCACCCAGTTCCCTGCCTGTCACTTCAACTGAGGTCACTGGGCTAGTTCTCACACAAAACCCCACCCCAGCCCCCAGGGCACTGCACTGGCCCCCCAGCAAATCTAAAGAAGACACCATTTTGCCCAATTTATGGGTGAGAAATCTGAGGCTTAAGGATACAACCCACCCAAGACCACAGAGAAAATTGGAGCTTCATTATATCTGATCGCAGCCCTCAGGGTCTCTCCAGTCCCACAGACTGCAGCTCCTGGGGGACGGGTGACTACTCCCTCAAATTGGAGGGTTCCACTGTCCATCAGAGCAGTGAAAAAGTGAGGTTGCCTGGAGGCAGGAGGCTGACCTCACATCCCTGAGGGAGAGGACCAGCAGCCTAGAGGGTTGCAGGGAAATGGCCCAGGACAAGAGCTGCAAATTCAGTTTGGGGGATCAGGGGGGAGATAGTTAAGCAGCAGCCAAAATTAGGACCAGTGATGGAGCTGGAGGAATAGTGGTTGTAACTCCCCCCGCCCAAACCCCCCAACATACAATCTCGAGTGACCAGAGCCACTTACACACATGCACACCTGTTCACCCTGGCTTGAACTGCCATACCCACTCCTGACCAGCCCCCCGGCCCCAAACACCTGAGTATGACTCTTCTTGGGCTCTGCCAGCAGCCTGGAGTCCCGTTTCTCCCTCGGGCTGGAGTTTCCCGAGCACAGAGGTGCTCCAAAAACCTAAGCCAGGATCACTTACCAGTGGCAAAGCCTGACTCTGAGCTTCCTCCCTAGAGATCCAGAGTTTAGAAGTAGCTGCTCTCAAGAGTTCTTTCATTGGGTCACAGGGACCAAATGGATTGACTAGGTTGTACCCTGGGAACTGCCCCGGGAGGGGGAAGCATAAGAGACCCTAAAAAACTAACACCAGCTAACAAACCCGTGCCCAGAAAACCCAGTCCAGGAGAGGCGGGCCCTGAGGGGCGAGGAGGGCAGAAGCACCAGGAGGGAGCTCCGTCCTGGAAGGGGCTCTAAAGCTAGAGCCTGGACTGGAAAAGGGCAGGAATGCTGGCTAGTCAGAGGTGGGGCGAAACAGAGGGGCCAGCCTGCCCAAGGATTCGGAGGCAAAAAGGCTTTTCTGCCCGCGGGTCACTGCCCGAGGAGCCAGACAACCCTCTCTCCCCGCGCCCGGATCTCCGTCCCCTCCACTGCCATCTTGCAAGGCCCCCGTGGCGCACTCACAGGCCGGCACCAGCTCCACGAAGAGTGTCTTTTGCGTGCGGTCCCGCTGCCGAAGCTGCCGCACTATGTGGCGTTTCCAGAGGGCGACGGGCACGCTGGGGGCGCCGGGCCCCGCCATAGCCGCTCTCCCGCCCGCACGGCGCGCCGCTCCCACGGCAGAAGGCGCGACCGGGGCGGGGCCTCTGGGGGACTCCGTGACGTCAGGGGGCGGCAGCGGCAGGGACTGCCCGGATCGTCCTAAGAGCGTTCGTCGGGGGAGAAAGCCACGCAAATGTGCTGGGAAGCCGCCCCCAGGGTCTACACCACCCGGACCGCACCAGAAATTCTCACCTACGTCGGGGCTCCTATTGCTGTCCGCCGCAGTGAGCCGGGATGGAGGTCGCGGCCTCCGCGGCGGCTTCCCCCACGCCTGTGGGCGCGCTGTCGGGCCGGCCTCCCGGCCGGAGGGGTCGTCCTCAACCCCTCCGCGCCGAGACCGAGTTCGGAAGTAACCGACGTCGTCCAGGGCCCCTCCGGTCAGGTCGCGCTCCGAGCTGGGGACCTAGAGACCCCTCACACCCTGACCCTGCCCTGGAGGCGCTCAAGGTCTGCGAGGGGAGGCGACACAGACACGAGGCACACACAGCGTGACGGCGAGGTGAAGCGCCGAGGAGGAAGGGACTGAAGGGAAGAGGCGCTGCTTTCGCAGATGACGGCGTTTGAGTTGGAACCAGAGGGCTGCAATAGGTAGGTGCTGGCCAGGAGGAGAGAAGGATTCCAGGCAGCGGGAAGAACAAGTGCAGAGGTTTGAGGATATCAAAACTCCCAGGGGACAGAAACTCGTGAGACGGGAAGCAGAAGAGCCCTTGTGGAGAGCAGGGCTTAGGGGCTCAGTTCTTCGCAGAAAGTGGAGGTCCCTGAGAGTGAAGGGATGCACCTGATTGCATCTGGCAAATCCCGGGCCCCTGGGGTTGCACAGGAGTGGGTGGCTAACCAGTGCCCTGTCTCCGGGCTCAACCGTTCACTCTCTTGGGGCGGCCTCTGGAGGAGTAGCAACATCTCGTGCAGGTACACTTGACAGTGAATCATGGGTTGCAGGGAACTATGATAAAACTGTTTCCAGCCAAGACCCCTGTCCAGAGCTCTGCAGACCCGTCTGGTGTGAAGAATGAAAGGAGGGATTCACTGGACCCAGCCTCACCCTGCTCTCGGTGAGTGAATGCAGGCCTGCATTCTCTCCCCCTGGAAACAGAGAGAAATCCGGCGACACTGGGGAGCCACACAGGCCTTGGAGGTGACAGGTCTCTTGAGATGTGCATGGTGGGATGGGTCACAGGACTTGGAAGGCAGTAAATGCCACTGACACCCCAGGATAACGGACCCCTGCTATGCTTTGAAACCACCATGAACTGAGCTCAGCCCCCCCACATTTCCTTTGCACAAGTTCCTTTGAAACATCTTCCCCTCTAGTCCTCCCGACTCCTACTCATGGGTCACCTCCTCCAGGAAAACTTTCCTGCCCCTTCACTGGCTGAAGGCCTTTCTGACCCGAGCCACATTCCAAGCCTAGCCTGTCTGTTGAAAGAGTGAGCGTAGGTAGTAACAATTTCCAGAAGGCATGCCCAGGAGACTCCATCCATGTACCATGGAGACCCAGAGCCAGTTGGTGACAGTGAAGAATTTCTTTTAGGACTGTCTTGATGTTGCTGGAGACACCATCATGGATCTGTGTGCATCGAAGGGTGTGTTAACAGGGCTCTGCTCGGCCGTGAGGTGCAGAGGCGATATCTCTCTCAAGTAAGGAGTTGTTTGGGGTGAAGGGTTCCTAACCCTTTTTTGACTCACAAAACACTCCTAGGAAATTTGAAATAACTTGTCATTTTTGAATAATATGATAAAGAAGTAATTGATTTTGACTAAAAATATTTATCTTCTGGGTGCCTGGGTGGCTTGGTCGTTAAGGGTCTGCCTTCGGCTCAGGTCATGATCCCAGGGTCCTGGGATCGAGTTCCACGTCGGGCTCCCTGCTCAGCGGGGAGTCTGCTTCTCCCTCTCCCTCTGCCTGCCACTCCCCCAGCTTGTGCGCGCTCTCTCTCTCTGTCAAATAAATGAATAAAATCTTTTTAAAAAGCTAAAAAAATTTTATCTTCTATCTTTAGAATATGAGAGATTGTGTTATAAAGTTCACTTAAAATCTTAGATAACATTCATAGTATATGACAACACATTTCTATTTTTCACATTTAACATGCTGTTTCATTTATCTTTATGTGAGAAAAACACAATTTGATGACCAATATATATAAAAAGTGACTAAATCATAATTTAGAGACCTAATGCACTTTAGAATATGTAGTTGGCCCCTGAACAACATGGGTTTGAACTGCGCAAATCCACTTATCTGCAGACTTTTTTTCAATAAATATAGTACTGTATGATGGGAGAAAAAGAAAGGCCAGGCTTTGTTGTGACTTGGCTGCTGAGACCTCGGAGTCTCCAGGCAGAATTCCTGAGACATACAGATTGTAACATTCCTGCAGCTTCCCTCAAGGACTTTCTTTAATGTTTTACCATTGTAGCTTTGCTCTTGTCAGTGTTACTTCCCCCTGATAGCCATATACTCCCCCCAAAGATATATATTAGCAATTACCTTCTAAGCATATGGCCCACTGATATACATCTGAAGGGTCTCAAGACTAATGTTTTACCAGTGATAAATAACCTTACCTTAGCAGCAGCTAGCCACTCAAGGCCCTGGAAGGCCTTGCTTCCAAATTCCTTGGACACTTATGCTCTAACCCCCACTAACTAAAAAGTATTTAATCAGTCACTCCCCACAAACACAAGCTTTTTCTGCCCATAGGCCCTGTCCCTGTGCTATAATAAAATCACCTTTTTGTACCAAAAACATCTCAAAAATTCTTTCTTGACCATCTGCTCATGGCCCCACATCACTGTAAATATATTTTTTCTTCCTTATGATTTTCTTAATAACATGTTCTTTTCTCTTACTCTTATTAGAATATAGTATATAATACATATAATATACAAGATATGTGTTAATCAACTGTTCGTGTTATTGGTCAACAGTAGACTATTAGTAGTTAAGTTTTAGGAAAGTGAAAAATCATATGCGGATTTTTTACTGTGCAGGGGTTGGTCCACCTAACCCCCATGTTGTTCAGGGCTCAACTGTAGTTTAAAACTTACACTCGGGTTAGGCATCTCCCAGCAGCCACAGTGATTGTTTAAAAACCTCAATCAGCTCATGTCATTCTTATTTAAAACCCTCCAAAGGGCTTTCCAGCATATTCCGTCCAGCATATTCAAAGCAAATCTCCGATCCTTTATCATGGCCTACAAGGTCCCACTGAAATCTCTGACCTTACCTCTTTCTACCCTGTGAACAGAGCCTTATTCACAACACTGAATGACTCATTCCCTAACTCATTCCCACATTGGCGCCTTTGCCTTGGATATTCTCTATTCCTGGTGCTCTTCCCTCAGATCTTTTAAGCGCTGACACAACCCCTTTTTTCAGAAGATTTTCCCTGTTCATCCAATCTGAAATAGCCTTTATTCCAATCAATATCTATAACATCATCTAATTGTTCTTCCTTTCAGAGCACTTATCATTCCCACAGAGGATCATTTTTCTGTGCTTGTTCAGTTGTTTTTGACCTGTCTTTCCAACCTGACTGGAAGATTCAGGAGAGCCAGGACCAAGTCAGCTTTGATCCCGGTACTGTCTTCAGCCCTAGAACAGGACCTGACACCAATTGAGGAGGTGATCAGTACATATTTATTGCTGTTGCTGTGGTATCAAAACTATACAAAACCAGTTTTAATGGCCCAATGCTTGGAAGTTGTGAATTCAAAATTGTAGCTATACCAGGTATCTGGTGCCTCAGTCAGTTAAGCGTCTGATTCTTGATCTCAGCTCAGATCTTGACCTCAGGGTCGTGAGTTCAAGCCCTGCACTGGGCTCCATGCTGGGCATGAAGCCTACTTAAAAAAATAATATTAAGGAACACCTGGGTGGCTCAGTTGGTTAAGCATCTGCCTTCAGCTCAGGTCATGATCCCAGGGTCCTGAAACTGACTCCCGCATCAGGCTCCTTGCTCTTCAGGGAGCCTGCTTCTCCCTCTGCCACTCCCCTGCTTGTATTCTCTCTCTCTGACAGATAAATAAATAAAATCTTTAAAATAATATTTAATTAATAAAAAATAAAAAACCAAAATGGTAGCTATATCTAATTGAAAAATAAATCACATGCACATAGCCAAAAATTTAAATAGTACAAGAGTGAGACTTTTTGCCTCACTCCATCATATCAGTCAGGATGGGACAGGCTGTTCTGTGGTCTTTTGTTTCTCTATTATTTAATACATCTATTTCTTAATAGCTCTCATGATTCTGTGTGTTGGCCGAGCTCAGCTAGGTGATTCTCACTTCAAGGCTCATGTGGTTGCAGGCACAACTGAAATGGAGTCATCTGAAGACTCAGTGGGACTAGTTGCCAATTATGGCTCACTTGTTTGGCTAGCAGGAGATGCTCGGAAGGCTGGAAGGCTGATTAGAGCTGAAAACCAGAGTGCCTTCATGTAGTCCCTCCATTTCGTTTCTTGGAGCATGGTGGCTGAATTCTAAAAGGAAGCATCCCCAAACAAGCATTTCAGCAGGCAGTGAGCTGCTAGTCTTGTATGGCTTGAGCCCAGACACTAGCCCAGCATCACTTGCTCTGCATTCTCTTGTCCAAAGCAATCATGGTCCAGCCCAGATTCAAGGACAGGGGACATAGATCCCAGCTTTCAGGGAAAGAAATGTCAAAAAGTCTCTGGCCATCTTTAATTTGTTATATGTGGAACCAAATAAACCTTCAAATCTTAGTGGCTTAACACACAAAGGTTTATTTCTCACTCACATCCCAGTGTGGGTAGACCATATTGGTATGCTCTTCTCCTCTAGCAGTGACTCAGATCCAAGCTGCTTCTACCCAGCATCTCCATCATCTCAAAGCTCTTTGATCCCAGCTGCTTAGATGGGGGTCGGGGAGAGGAGTGGAAAGCTTTCACACTGACACTTAATTACCTTGGACCTGAAGTGCCACATTCTTCTGCCTACACTCTTATTGATGAG